GTATAAGTCTGTAGACAGCAACCACTCAGGGAGGTACTACTGTCCTGCCAAGTGAGTGTAAAACAGAAGCCTGTAATTGTTTTACACGATGGTAGGATTGCTGGTGTCTTTTTATTCTGTCTCATACACATGCAAGATTTCAGGTATGTCTTGCTACTTCTACTTACACTTAGGTCACAATACACATACATGTACAAGCATATATACACACACCTCTCTGGGTTTTCTTCTATTTTCTTTCTAGTTCTTGTTTATTTCCTCTTACCTCCATGGGGAAGTGGAACAGAATTCTTCCTCCGTAAGCCATGTGTGTTGTAAGAGGCGACTAAAATGCCGGGAGCAAGGAGCTAGTAACCTCTTCTCCTGTATATATTACTAAATGTAAAAGGAGAAACTTTCGTTTTTCCTTTTGGGCCACCCCGCCTCGGTGGGATACGGCCGGTGTGTTGAAAGAAAGAAAGAAGAAAAGGAGAAACTTTTGTTTTTCCTTTCGGGCCACCCCGCCTTGGTGGGATACGGCCGGTGCATTGAAAGAAAGAAGTTTACCGAGTCCTAGGTAGTAAGTTTGTAGACAGCAACCACTCAGGGAGGTACTACTGTCCTGCCAAGTGAGTGTAAAACGAAAGCCTGTAACTGTTTTACATGATGGTAGGATTGCTGGTGTCTTTTTTTTCTGTCTCAAACATGTAAGATTTCAGGCATGTCTTGCTACTTCTACTTCCATTAAGGCCACACTACACATGCCTGTACAAGCATATATATACACACTCTTCTGGGTTTTCTTCTATTTTTCTTACTAGTTCTTGTTCTTGTTTCTTTCCACGTATCTCCATGGGGAAGTGGAACAGAATTCTTCCTCCGTAAGCCATGCATGTTGTAAGAGGCGACTAAAATGCCAGGAGCAAGGGACTAGCAGCCCCTTCTCCTGTATAAATTACTAAATTTAAAAAGAGAACCTTTCGTTTTTCTTTTGGGGCCACCCTGCGTTGGTGGGATACGGCCGGTTAAAAAAAAAAAAAAAAAAAAAGAGAAACATTCGTTTTTTTCTTTTAAGCCACCCCATCTCCCATCTCAGTGGGATATGGCCGGTGTGTTGAAAGTGGTAGTAGTTTACCAAGTATACCAGGTAAAGTGTACGAAAGGATTATTATTGGAAGAATTAGAGGTAAGACAGAGAGTAGGATTGCAGATGAGCAAGGAGGCTTTAGGGTGGGGAGGGGATTTGTAGATAAAGTGTTTAAAAAAAAAAAACTACCACGGGGGGGGGGGGGGGATAGAACCCGCGATCAGAGAGTCTCAAAACTCCAGACCGTCGCATTAGCCACTGTCTGGAGTTTTGAGACTCTCTGATCGCGGTTTCTATCCCTGCCCGTGGTATGGTTTGTTTGCAATTGTGTCATTACGATTTCATGAGTCATGATAAAGTGTTTACATTGAAGCATGTATGTGTACAGTATTTAGATAAAGGCAGGGAAGTTTTCATTGCTTTTATGGATTTAGAAAAGGCATATGAGAGTGGATAGGGGAGCAAAGTGGCAGATGTTGCAAGTGCATGTAATAAGTAGTAAGCTACTAAATGCTGTAAAGAGTTTTTATAAGGATAGTGAGGTGAGGCTCAGGATAGGGTGTGTAGGAGAGAGGGAAATTACTTCCTGGTAAGAGTAGGTCTTAGACAGGGATGTGTAATGTCAACACGGTTGTTTAATATATTTATAGATGGGGCTGTAAAAGTAAATGCAAGGGTGTTGGGAAGAGGGGTGGGATTAAATTATGGGGAATCAAATACAAAATGGGAGTTGACACACTTTTTGCTGATGATACTGTGCTTATGGGAGATTCTAAAGAAAAGTTGCAAAGGTTAGTGGACAAGTTTGGGAGGGTGTGTAAAGGTAGAAAGTTGAATGTGAACATAGATAAGAGTAAGGTGATGAGGGTATCAAATGATTTAGATAAAAAAAAAAATTGGGTATCTCATTGGAGAAGGGGAATATGGAAGAAGTGAATGTTTTCAGATATTTGGGAGTTGACTTGTCAGCGGATGGGTTTATGATGGACGAGGTTAACCATAGAATTGATGAAGGAAAAAAGGCAAGTGGTGCATTGAGGTATCTGTGGAGACAAACCACATTATCCATGGAGGCAAAGAAGGGAATGTACGAAAGTACAATAGTACCAACACTCTTATATGGGTGTGAAGCTTGGGTTGTAAATGCTGCAGCGAGGAGATGGCTGGTGGCAGAAGAGATGTGTCTAAGGGCAATGTGTGGTGTAAATATTATGCAATGAATTCATTATTAAAAGTATTAGTCAGAGGGTTGAAGGGGGATTGTTGAGGTGGTTTGGTCATTTAGAAAGAATGGAACGAAGTAGAATGATTGGAGAGCACATAAATCTGTAGGGGAAGGAAGGCAGGGTAGGGGTCGTCTTCGAAAAGGTTGGAGGGAGGGGGTAAAGGTTTTATGGGCTTCCACCAAGCATGCGCGAGTGTGTTAGATAGGAGTGAATGGAGACGAATGGTTTTTGGGACCTGACAAGCTGTTGGAGTGCGAGCAAGGTAATATTTTGTGAAGGGATTCCAGGAAACTGGTTAGCCGGACTTGAGTCCTGGAAATGGGAAGTACATGCTTGCACTTTAAAGGAGGGGTCTAGGATATTGGCAGTTTGGAAAGACTCCTAAACTGTCCTATCTGAGCGCCTCTGAAGAGACAGTGATTATGTATGAGTGATGGTGAAGGTGCTGAATGATGATTAAAGTATTTTTCTTTCTTTTTGGGTCACCTTGCCTTGGTGGGAAATGGCTGACATGTTAAAAAAAATACAATATATTATTACAGCTTGTACATGTTCGATTTGCAGTCAAAAGAAATGTAAACCTACATAAAGATGCAATAGTAAATCATAAATATGAATCTTTTTCATATCTCTATTTTTTATGTCTAGTGTTAGTAATACATATAGCATCTACAGTGTTTTGTATCCTATAAGACAGTATTCATGTAGGTACTGACAGACAGAAGATTCATCTTGTAAACAGATGCTGTAATCTTATGGTACCGATAAACACAGTATAGTACTGCAAATGTATTTTCTCTTCATTATGATTTAACATTTTCTTTACTCGAGCTAATTTTATTGTAAGAATACAATACATAAAACATGTCCCAGTGTGTGTTAATTGACTACTTATGTTATCGGTAAGGCTTCCGGTCAACAGTAGGCCATTAGTAGTTCAGTTTTTAAGGCATTAAAAGTTATACACAGATTTTCGACCACGGAGGGGGTTGGTGCCCCTAACCTCCACATTGTTCAAGGGTTAACTGTATTTTTAAATGTACCAGTAAAATTTTACCTTTCCTTTCCGAATACATAAAAGCTGTACAAGTCTTTCTGGAGCTGATGTTACGCTCTCCCAAAGTCTGGAAGCTTGTTGACGAGACTTGGATTTAAACAGATCTCGTGTTGGGCAGTCGGGTAAATGACGAATTTTGCGCTCTAAGTCATCTAATTCCATCATCACATTGAATAACTATAAAATAGAAAAGAAAATTTAACAGTTTATAAAGTAACATTTATGCTCAAAGCAACAAAAACTAAAATAATATATAGATAGCAAAACAGAATACCTTTTTGGATGCACTCATGACATGTCCCCTTTGTCTCTCAATCTCCACTAGTGATGCCCTATCAGTTTTTTCCATTTCTAAATCACCTATATTACGCATCCTCTTTCCCCTTTCCTTGCCTTTATTTCACTTGCCTATCCCTTCCTTTACTGTCATTTCTACATTTACTTATATATTTATGCATAAACTTGATAAGACAATCATTTCTTCATTATGGTTACCAGTAAAAGTGGCAGGCACACAGACAAGGTTACTCTGAGAAGGTTGAGTCAAATTAACTTCTGCAGAGGTAGGGTAGCTCTTTTAATGATTCTTCCTTCCCCCCCCCTCCTCCCTATTTTTTGAGTACAGGTTGACCATCACTAATCCAGCATCATTGGGACCTATAGGGTGCCGGATTACAGGTCTCCCTCCACATTTGCAAGTTCCACTTTCGCGGGCCTCAAACATTTGCGAATATCCAGCCGCCCAATCATATTTAAAATGTCATTATGTACGTTAGGAATTGTGGCGGCGGCAGAGTTTGTTTGGAGGAAGGACAAGATAATCCTTCAATATAACACTAATATCAACTCTAGTGCTTATTTACCTATCACAATTGTTCTAATATGACATAATAAACAATATTAATAACAGTAATAACAACTTGTTACTATTACTAATATTAACAATAATAACGAGTGATGTTATGTTGTTGTTGGGTTTATAAGGGACACTGAGAGCGTAAGCTGTACATAGTGGTGGTGAAGGCCAGCAGAGGCGGAGGTGTTCTCAGTAGCCCTATATAACTCCAACAACATTGAAAGAGTTAGGTTCATGCTGTCCTTTTTCTATCAATTAATCGTTTAACTTACTTGCTACACTGTTAATGCTACACTTTATTGCTGGCTGGTGCTATAGCCTTTATCAACTAGTGCTGCTTTAGTATCGTACATATCACAGAATCATTGAACCACTGAAGAAGGCACATTCTCCCCTCTCTCTTCCTCCTCCACTTCGATATTTTGCTACAAGTTCTTTCTTGAATTCTATAGTCTTTCTCACCTCTCTACCAAAGGGCTGGCACTAGTGTAATATTTTACAATGTTTTCATGTTTTTATGATTGTTCATGGTTCAATAGGTTAAGGAAGCAGTATTGTTAGGTTAATACTATTATTATATTTCCCTACAATATATTTGTGCACCAAACATTCGCAATGTTTCCACATTCGAGAGGTTCTTGATCCCCTAACCCTCACGAATGTGGAGGGAGACCTGTAGTAATTTGGCCGGATTACAGAGTATTTAGGTTAGAATACACATAACCGAACGGCAATATTTACGCATCGACAATTTCACTCATTTTATACCCTACTTTTGGCCCATTCCATTGTTCCAGTCTACCAAACTCATAGCTATTTCACTAGTATTCCTTCTATTCTGTCAACTGAGTACAAGAAACTTCCCATTTACCTATTTCAACTACCCAATAAAGTGGTCTGAAATTGGTAATTTGTCCCATTTCACACAAATTTCATGAGATGCCAGTTTCAAAATAGGGTTCTGAATAAACAATGCAGACATTCCTATCACTAAGTAACATTTTCTCTGTTCATTATTCACATCTCCAGGCCTCTCTTATATTACTCTTGCTCACTATTTTGAATGTTTATTCACACAAAAAATAGAAGATTTACTGTTATGAAGACTACTGCATTATTGTAATAATTGTATAAAAATGTCAACCCATTCATATATGCGTATTAGACTGGCCAGTTGGACACGCATTGGATGGTGACATCACTCGTTTACTCTTGAACATCAGCAAAAATCCAACATTTCCACTACTTTGAGTTCAATTTTAAGGTACTTTCCAGCATGAAACTAATGAAAATTTTATCTATTTCTGTAATAAATCTTCTATTCTATCAAATAAGACCAGAAAAACAAGAATACAACCATACAAAAATACACAGCAAAGTTGCTTTTACACCAGCCCAAATTTACCGGTCACAGCTTATGTGAGTGAGCTGAGCTCATGGCGACCGACAGTGGCTTCAAAGCCACGGTGTATGCACTTTACACAATGAGAAACCTTTCTTTTATCTGTTGGAACCACGGCTAGGGCTAAAAGTGAGAAGGTTATAATAATAAATGGAGAAACAAACTGGAATGGTGGTGTGGCGACCCTGGCAATTTTAAATTATGCTAGCCGAAATTAGTGCCTGATTACTGATTGCTGGATTAGTGATGACCAACCTGTATTCTGTGCAACTCTCAGCACATTTTGATTATAAATAGTATATGTTTACCTTTTCAATATACAGGAGAAGATGTCTGTGTTTCCTCATCTCACGTTGCAAAGGTGTTGTGGGATGTGATGGGTCAAGATGTACAACTTGCAGGTCAATTATCCTTCTCGGGGCATTAACACTTACTACTTGCAGTTTCCCTAGAGAGTTTTCTAATCGTGGAGGTTCATATTCTCTGCCACCATCTTTGCCACGATCCGATAAAAGTAGCTGGAGACCATCAATCTCTATCACTTCTTCTTCCCTTTTGCGTTGCTGCTTAACACTATACATCTAGAATTAGAAATGTTTTTTTTTAATAAGAGCAAACTATTATGATATAGCTTATATTTTGAGGTACAATAAGAAAACAATGAGATCCACAACTTTCTACCAGCAAATAATAAAGGTCAACATTTTCAAGAGAAAACTAGATAATGTGGTGTAGATGCTGCCTTATCAGTCAGGTTGTGATTCCAGGAAAGCCTAGCATTAGGAGAAATCTGCACCTAGACAAACTAAAACAGTCCCAGTTAATATATACAGTCGGCCCTATGTATCCAGGAATCAAACAACCATGGATCGAAAATATTCGGGAGGATGGGGGGGGGGGGGCAAAAAGTTCCAAAAAGCAAAATTTCAATTTGCCATGCACCAATCACTATACTGAATCCACACGAGTGAAATGATGTGTAGGCAAACAATGCTTGTCGTCTGACTCGTATCTCGTCTGTGTGTGTACCCATTGTGGAAAAATGTTTCCGAAAAAAGCAATTATTATTATTAATAGTAGTAGAGTGGACCCTCAGTTAATGATATTAATCGATTCCAGAGAGCTTGTCCTTAACTGATTTTATCATTATCCAAATTAATTTTCCCCATGAGAAATAATGGAAATCCAATTAAACCGTTTCAGACATCCAAAAGTATTAAAATAATTTTTTTATATGAAATATACATTTCCCTACATAGAAAACTGATACATGAAGGACAAAACAATAACAACATCACACTTACCTTTATTGAAGACATGGTGATGCATGGAAGACGGGAGAAAGGGAGAGGATGGAGGAGTTTACAATTGTTTGGAAGGGAAATCCCACTCCATAAAGACTTTAGGTACCAAGTCCTTATACCTGGGTTACTTCCCTCTTTTGCTTTTTAATGCCACTAGGACCAGTTTGAGAACCACTGGACCCCTGTTGCTCAAAAAAGTTTTCCAGAGAGGTTTGTTTCTGGCGTACATTAGGAATTGTGTTGAAAGACACAAGATAGTCCTTCAATATGACACTAATATCAGTTCTATGGCTTATTTATCCAGCACAATTCATCTAATATGACCTAATAAACTATATTAATAACATAGAAACATGACTTATACTCTAGAAAGAATAAAATATGTCATTATGTCACAAGTGTTGCTGTGTTGTTGTTGTTGGGTGTACAAGGGCCACTAAGAGCATAAGCCATACATAGTGGTGGAGGGAAGCGGCAGCAGAGGCGGTAGAGACGGGGGTGTTGTCAGTCGCCCTACATAACTCCAACAACATTGGCGGAGTTAGGTTCGTGCTGTCCTTTTTCTATCGATTAATCGTTTAACTTACTTCCTACAGTTAATGCTACACTTTATCGCTGGCTACTGCTATAGCCTTTATAGACTCCTGCTGCTTTAGTATCATACATATTGCAGAATAACTGAAAAAGGCACATTCTCCCCTCTCCCTCAGCTCTTTACCAAAGGGTTGGCTGAGACTAGAAGCTTTCTTTGGGCCCATGGTGGCATTTTTAGCAGTTACAAGCACTAAAAACAATGGAATACAAAATGTATTGCATGTATGTGTGGAATCATCCACAGTGACTTGTAAACAATGGCACACTGGCCACACTGGAGTGGTCGGGCGGCTCAAACCGCGCAGACACGTTCTGGACAAATGTCCTTAACTGAGTTTATCGTTAGCCGAGCTGATATTTTGATGCAAAAACACATCAATATCCGATTTTATTGCTATCCGATGGCATCATTAACTGAGGGTCCACTGTAGTGGTATTAGTGGTTGTGAGGGAAAAGTTCAATAGATAGGAGTAGAGAGGGAGTATATAGTAACAATAGTTTCATTGCAGGCTGCTTGTTAGGGTAGGGTAAGTCAAGCTCCCACTATTCCCGCCTTTTTTCCCCCACCCTGAAAGTGATAGTTTGACTGCCGGCTGCTTGTTAAGGCAGGGTCAGTCTAGCTCCTGCTATCCCTTCCCCTCCTCCCCCCCCCAAAAGGTGACGTGTGGGGCTCCGGTCCAAACAGTAATCACTAGACTCACAGCTCCCAGCACTACTGTAAGTACATGCCTGCCTTGTATTCTAGTGGATTTATTGGTTGAAAGCTTCACTTTTGACCAATAATAAACTTAGTCCTTTCAGTCTTGCTCTAGGTTGACTGTTGTAATAATCACCACATCTTTTAGGTATTGTACTTATCATGGAGAGTAATTTCTTAAGCAGTGGGTAACCTGTCTATCTTTCCAGCTTGGATGACAGAGAGGGTCACCTGCCAATCAACGAGCAGAACTGAAGGAGATGGACTAACGTCCTGAGACTTCCCCTTTTTGGATTTAATTACCTGTGCACCTGTATGAAATTGCAGGACGTAACCCCTCATCATTGCAGCGGTCAAGAACCTGCTTTCCTGTCATCGGGATAGAATACTCAAGGCTATACTGTGAAGAACGAACCGGTGGGTTGTAACCAATACCTGCGCCCCCCCCCCATCATCAGCAACTGTTACGATTTCAACAACACTCAGTGTCACCAACACCAGACACCCCTATATATATTAGCATTGAATTCAGTTATCATTTATATTTTTCATTTTTTATTTTTAATGTAGGATTAATATTTCATATTTAAGTGTTATATATTTTCTATATAATAAAGTGTATGTTTGTCTGTTATCATTTCTTTTTCTATTCACTAATTTTCCTGAGGAGCCAGCCTTGGTAATACTGTCTGAAGTTGTTACAGGGCTGAGTAAGCCTTCACAAGTGGTGACCTTGCCAGGATCAACTCTACTGAATCAAGATTCAACTCCATCTCGAATCTACCATTGGAACTTCAACACCGCATACCACAGACGGTTACCACCAGCCATGAGTAATCATTCTCTATGGTAGGACTACAGTACAGGTATTTAAAAGATTTGGTGATTGTTAGTCTCAATTTATTGTAAGTCAAGTCAAGGCAGGAATACTAGTTAATTCTGCCATCTATTTTTGTGTGAGCTTGAAACACTTTGGAGGATTAGACTCTAGGGACCCGAGATTTTCCAGTGACAATTTGTTTCATTGAGCTCTTTATTATATCAAGGGAACTGTCATAGGGCACTCTTGATTTGTTGGTGAGAAGATTGGATGGTCAAGTGACCCCATTCTACTTACTGTTTGCTCGGAGCCGGCATAGAACTCTTCGTTTTAATTAACCCTTTGACTGTTTCCGACGTATAAATACGTCTTACGAGCCAATGTTTCTGACGTATTTATATGCACAAATTCTAGCGGCTTCAAATCAAGCGCCAAAGGCCTGGTAGGCCTACATGAGAGAGAATGGGTCTCAGTGGTCGGTGTGCACCCTTAAAAAAATTGGGCCCCAGTGGTGCTTTGGGGGAACCCCCATTTTGTTAGTCCTTTTCACCAGGGCCTCTCGGTAAGAAGTTTCACCCTGGGCGGTTTGGGGAGGTCTTTTGTTCCAAGTGATAGCTCTAAACGGTAAAAGGGTCAGGACATAAAATTCCCGGGTTTTGAAGTGAGTTTACCGGGAAAAGTGCCCAGGATAATGAATTAGTGATAAAAACCCCGATGCCCCACAACTTCCCCCTTGGGTGCTGTGCCGGTTTTGTTCACGTTCACGTTTGCTGTACAAGGAAAAAGAGGAAAACTTTTGGTCGTGTACAACCCCCAGATGATAGCTGATAGTTTTTTCAAGGTCATTGAAAGCATTTAGTGCATAGAGTAAAATTTTTTCCCCCATGAAGCGCAGTATGTACGACTAGCATGCGGTCTGGAGTGTTTTTTGTTGTTCCAAGGGAAGGGAGAAACTCTGGGGCACATCCCGTGGCCCTACCCACGCCCTGTAGTGAGATAACGAAATTGTAACGCTGGGATGAATGGTGACATGGGGGAGGGGGCAGGGTGGGATAGTGAGGGTGGCACGGCCCCATTGGCACCATCAGTGGGCCACGCTATACCCCGCTGGACTCGCACAACAACCGGCCCCACCCTACCCCACACCCCAAACTACCACCACAACCTGCACAACCAACCTGCACAACCACAACCTGCACAAAAACCACAACCACGTACAATATCCGAACCACCAGCAGACCCCATTGGGATTGGCAGGCGGTGCGGGTTTTTTCCCCTCCCCATGGTTTGATGAAACACAAAGTGGAATAAAGCCAACTTGTCCATTGGGAACAAGCCAGTAACTGGAGCTTTGAGTTATTCTTCGATAAACCCCTGTGGACATCATTGTCTGGGGAAAAAAAACCTACTGGATTACACCATGGAAAAACAAATTTTCCACCAAAAACATGGCTACACAAGTGGAAGGAGACAACTGTGGAGAGATGTACCTGTTTTTTTTCCCCAATAATGCTTATGCCAATGTTATAAGCACACTGTCACCACTACTGGGTAACAAACCCAGATTTTAACTCCAGGTTTTTTTTCATTTTAGGTGTCAATCGTTTCCTGATATGTTTGTATGTTACACTTTTAGAAAAAAACCAGGCCTGACAAAAGCGCATTTTTGTAAGATCAAAAAATGTGTTAGTACCAAAAACAAAAGTGTGCATGTTTTTTTACCCCTTAGGAAGTTGTTATTGTGGCCCTTTTTTTTTAAAAAGGAAGACTTCATTCAGCATATATCCCAAGAAAGGGGAAAACGTTTTGGTATAAACTTTTTGTACGTGTGATTGCAAAGGGGTCTAGTTTTTGGATATATTTTGTCCAGGCAGAAATATTTTGAGAGATCCATGAAGTTTTTTGGGTATCTCTGGTGATGTGGTTCGAAAAATGATGGAACCCATATCTTGGTAAACTGGCATATGTTATTTACTGATAAGGGTACAACCCCCTTACTCAGTGTTTTCTTGGAGTAAAACTTGAAGGTGTGTGGCACGTCGTGGGGGAATCGTAAAATAGCCCAAAGGGTTCAAAGCTGGGCCCGCGAGGTGAGGTGCAAAACCTTTGTGCCAATGACATCTGGATTTCGGTGGGTGACAAAAAGTGATTCACATTGTTGAAATGTTCACGA